CAGGACCCCCTATCCTGTGTGTAATGGCTTCCAGCCGTCTCTTGAGCAATGCTGTTCTGCTGGGTATGCAGAGCCGGAATCTTCTTTCCACACGGCCCACTTCAGCATAATTCAGATTTCCTTTCTAGGACATGTCGCAGGCCCTTTGGTCTTCTGTACCACGGGTGGGCCTGGGGAACGTTTTTGTGCATTGGAGGGAAATCTTCCGGTTGGTCGATCGTTGAATCGGCATTCTTCGAGAAACCAACCTGTTCGCTTCGACATTTCTTCTGAGATTTCTTTGCATACCTGGGAAGGGATCTTTGTATTTGACCCGAGGTCGTGGAATTCATCTGAGTATATTTTCAAAGTTATGCATGCATTTGGATTGAATATGCTTGAACGTCTACGGACTAAGAGGGATCAAACGATTTTCGTTTTCAAACGATGGTGTTTGGTTCCCTCAAAGCCCGGAAGGCAAGTTTTGAACGCTTTCCTTTGCACACGATTTTCGAATTGCCGTGCCACTTTCTAATTCAAGTTTTCATCGGGAACTCTGCTCTTCTGTTCTAAATTTTTGACCCACCGCCATCTTCGAGCACGTTGAGGTTGTGGGTGCTTTCGACCCTTTGATTCCGTTTTCCTTTCTAGTACATGTCGCAGGCCCTTTGGTATTCTGTAGCACGGCTGGACCTGCCCCCGATGAAAACTTAATGCACAAACGATTTTAAAAACTTGCCTTCCGAGAGAACCAAACACCATCGTTTGAAAACGAAAATCGTTTGATCCCTCTTAGTCCGTAAACCTTCAAGTTTTCATATTCAATCCAAATGCATATATAACTTGGAAAATATATTCAGATATAACTTGGAAAATATATCAAATGAATTCCACAACCTCGAGTCAAATATAAGATTCCTTCCCAGGTATGGAAATTAATTTCAGAAGAAATGTCGAAGCGAACAGGTTGGTTTCTCGAAGAATGCCGATTCAACGATCGACTAACCGGAAGATTTCCCCCCAATGCAAAAACGTTCCCCAGGCCCACCCGTGAGTACAGAATACCAAAGGGCCTGCGACATGTACTAGAAAGGAAAACGGAATCAAAAGGTCGAAAGCACCCACGTTCCAACCAACCTCAAGGCTGGTGCTTGGGGATGGTAGTGGGTCAAAAATTTAGAATAGAAGAGCAGAGGGGAACGTTTTTGTGCATTGGGGGAAAATCTTCCAGTTGGTCGATCGTTAACTCGGCATTCTTCGAGAAACCAATCTGTTCGTATTAATTTCCATACCTGGGAAGGGATCTTTGGTTTGATCCGAGGTCATGGAATCGGAAGGCAAGTTTTCAAAATCGTTTGTGCATGAACGCTTTCCTTTGCACACGATTTTCAAATCTGCTTGCCGTGCCGCTTTTAGTTCCAGTTTTCATCGGGGGCTCTGCTCTTCTATTCTAAATTTTTGACCCACTGCCATCCCCGAGCACCAGCCTTGAGGTTGGTTGGAACGTGGGTGCTTTCGACCCTTTGATTCCTCGGCATTCTTCGAGAAACCAACCTGTTCGCCTCGACATTTCTTCTGAGATTAAATTCCATACCTGGGAAGGGATCTTATATTTGACCCGAGGTCGTGGAATTCATTTGATATATTTTCCAAGTTGTGTATGCATTTGGATTGAGTATGAAAACTTGAACGTATACGGACTAAGAGGGATCAAACGATTTTCGTTTTCAAACGATGGTGTTTGGTTCCTCAAAGCCCGGAAGGCAAGTTTTTAAAATCGTTTGTGCATGAACGCTTTCCTTTGCACACGATTTTCAAATCTGCTTGCCGTGCCGCTTTTAGTTCAAGTTTTCATCGGGGGCTCTGCTCTTCTATTCTAAATTTTTGACCCACTGCCATCCCCGAGCACCAGCCTTGAGGTTGGTTGGAACGTGGGTGCTTTCGACCCTTTGATTCCGTTTTCCTTTCCAGTACATGTCGTTCTGTACCACGGGTGGGCCTGGGGAACGTTTTTGTGCATTGGGGGGAAATCTTCCGGTTGGTCGATCGTTGACTCGGCATTCTTCGAGAAACCAACCTGTTCGCCTCGACATTTCTTCTGAGATTAAATTCCATACCTGGGAAGGGATCTTATATTCGACCCGAGGTCGTGGAATTCATTTGAATATATTTTCCAAGTTATATATACGTTTGAAAACCTGGACGTATACGGACTAAGAGGGATCAAACGACGTGCAAACAGGCGAGAGCACATTGTGCTTGCTGAACTTGAAGCCCACCTTTCCCTTCCTTACGGAAACGTATTACAAAGCCCAGGCTCATCCAACAATATATTGTATAAGCCGAAACTCAGCCAAAAATAAGCCCGATTATCAGCATGGTCAGTGTGCTCTTTATTTTGGAGTGTGTAGGGGACCAATCAGAGACCAATCCGGGACCAATCAGAAACCAATCAAGGACAAATCAAAGACCAATCGGGGACCAATCGCAGACCAATCAGAGACCAATTGGCCCCACGACAGTCAAAGAGCACGCCCACGATTGTAACTTAAATTGTTTAAAGTCTTTAGGAAGCTTTGGGTGACAGAGAACGCTAAACATGACGACTTTTCCTTTTCTGGTCATCGTGCTGTTTTCTGTTCTTTTGTTGCTTGCTTGCGCAACGCTCGTTTCACGTAGTTTTCTGGCTTAGCATGCAGCAGCAAGTTTTTTACAGCCGCACCCGCCCGCTTAGCTGCGTGAACACGCCTTGATCTCAGCTGCCACGCCTTGGCTACTTAACGAAGAATATCCGCCCAGAAACGCACTCTCCTACTCGGTTTCACAACGCAGAGGGCGCTTCTACCTCCGGCCTGCACTGCCAGGCCGAAGTAACTCTGAGCAGCGACCGTGGTAAAAAAGCTGTGCGTCCTTTTCTGACTATGCGCCAAAACATGGAAGCCAGCGGACTCCTGGAGGGGTGTGAGCGGGGTAGCTTGGGCGTTTACTGCCGCGTTCTCGAACGTCATGAGCCGTTGGAGGAGAGTCGTGACTAATCCAATCGGACTTGGTCACCTAGCTTTCAAGCAAGACAAGCCCCAAAGACCCCAATGCCACAACTCCAGGCCCTAGCCACTGCGGCGAAACCCTCGATCTCTAGGCCACCATGGTTTCGAAGTCCGCTCCCGTCGGCGAACAGAAGAAGTTAATATGCAGTCGGTGGTGGATTGCATCATTGACAGAAAGGTGTGCAATCTGGTAGTTCCAAAGCATGAACAAACCGTGGCTTGCTGAATCCTTGAATGCGACACAGCCGCATTTTGCTGTCAATACTTTGCCATACCCGGAGTGAATCCGAAGGGCATGCGACATGATCGACAAGCCATTTCGGATGTGTTAATTTTATTGCGGGTTGCAGAGCGAAGCTGCCGACGTCCCCAAGTGACTTTGAAGCTACAGACGCAAGCGCGTCGCGGCGGGGTGTTGAAAATTCACCCGTACATCGAACTACGTAGTCTTTGTACTTCTGTGCTTTACTACCCAAATGTCTGTGCCCGTGTGTTTCACATGAGTGATTGTGCATATCCTATGTTGAACGCAGTTGAATCCAAATCAAATGATTGGTCTTTCGCACGTCCTCTGGACCCTCTAGTGCGACGACTGCTAGATTCCAGGGGCAGAACTCGGCACAGGCCTGGCTTGATGACGAGCGGACTCTGGAGGTAAGGAGGTTCCACGAAGCTTACACCACCCCTTGCCCAACAGAGTTTGTTGGGCAGCAGGAGCCAGGCTAAGTTTCAGAAATGCCCGTCACGACAGGCTTTTTGGCTCAGGCAGCAACATAGACTGTGCGGAAACCTCCAACAACGATTGCGTGGATGATGCTGGCCAAACTGCTCGCTGCCGCACTCGGCACATGCTGCCTCGCGATTCCAGTCACTTTCAAGGTGCAAGAGCTTTTTGAAGACTGACGATCTTGTCCACGGAACTTTTGATTTGGGCCACAAAACTACATGCAACTCGTCACTACTTTAAACCTTAAACCCTGAACCCTAAACCGTGTTTCCCTTGCAGAGTCCGCAGGCTGACTTTCGAGGGCGCCAGGCGGCGCCTGGTGGTCCGCATCTTGTCGGAAGCTTTCAACGCTGGGACATCCCCACCGCCGTTGCCGCCCGTCAGCAGCACTTTCTGTGTGTGTTTGTTTTTTGGGGGGGGTCGTGGGCAACTGCAAGCTTCAGCCTGTGCACGAAGGCTTTGGCAGACGACGACGCAGATGGAATTTATGCAGCTTTGCTCATGGGGGGTCTTCTGTATGCCAGACTTTGCTTAGATAGCCAATGGGAGAACTTTAAACTTTTTGGCTTTATACATTAGGTCTATCCTAAAAAGTTTNNCCTGGTTGTTGAAGAAGAGAGTTTCAAGATGTGTTGCGCCACTACCAGGTCGCAACGCTGGATTTGCCTGCAGGGTCCTACGAGAGCCTCGCTTAAAAGGGCTTCCGAGCGGTTCCTGCACCTGTTTAGGGTTTGGGGTTTAGGGTTACTTTCGGTTGCTGTAATGTATTTGAAGCTGTTCCCCTCACGTGCATGACTCGCGACTTCAACCTGAACAACATAGAACTTCCCTTGAGTGCCTCAGGTTCAAATTTCTCAATGGCAGCGCTTGGGAACATGCGGAGATTGTGCCGATCTCATGTAGCACTGCCGACGCTACTAGCTTGATTTCAGAACAACCAGCCGCAATGCACCGACTGAGTGGGCCAGCTTCTGAGGCATACCACTATGGCTCCTATGGCTACGGCGATGAGAATGCTCACCGTCGCCTCCACATTGCAGAGAATGCGTCCTCCTCTAACATGCACGCGTGCTTCAACGAAGCTCGTCTGCAAGCCTTGTTGTTATGTCACCTGGGCTTGGTGAACTACATTAATTACGCCGTTGAAAGTACAGAACATATGTCAAGGGTAGAAGTTGAATACAGAGCATTGACGGTTTTAGGTTTAGCAGTGTCTTTCTGGCGGTGGGTGAGGCAGTGAGCTGCCGGCTCATCTTAGAATACTATTTCTATTGTTAGGTTTGCAGTTCTGTATTCAGAATCTTAATACTTTTGGTATTCTTCTTTTTCTTCCTGTTAGAATGGTTTCCAAACCTGTGGACAAAGCTGTAAAGCCTCAGCCCAGGAATGTGAGCCTTGCGATGCTCTTTCTCTCTGCAACACGGCTGCACTTGACGAGCCTGACATAGAACCATAAAGAACCTTACTTGTAAGCAATAAGGACCCTCCTGACATCAAGAAACCCACATATCTGCCCTGCCCTAAACCCTAGACCCTAAACCCTAGACCCTAGACCCTAGACCCTAGTCCCTAGACCCTAGACCCTAAACCCTAAACCCTAAACCCTAAACCCTAAACCCTAAACCCTAAACCCCTAAACCCT